TCCACAGTTTTCATTGTCTTCATTACTGGTGTTTAAATAGTTGAAATGTGTGGAACACCTGCTAATAGATGATGGAAGCTAATAGATGATGGAAGCGGCACTCATTAAAAGAAAAAAAAGGGGAGGTGGAAGAGGCAAGATTAAGTGTTCTTACGAGTAAATCAAATTCTAGGGCTTGAAGCTACAAACTAGTTATTCATATTTAAGTTTCAACAAGCACTGCATAGTGCAATACAAATGATATTTAAGCATACACGTATTTGAATATGATTGGAGGACATTTGAAATTTGTCAAATATTACAAAGTCTATCACTAACATAGTTCTTTTCTGGCATATGAACTTTGTACGTTGTGAATCCTAGTTCTTATCTTTGCTCTATCACTATCATGGGGATTTATGTATTAGCTTTTATCTCTTAATGATTTTGATGGTATTTATTGCTTTGTTCTAGATTTTCTTCAAAAAGATTATGATTTGCAACTGTTATCTATTTATTTGTAGGTCAAAAGGATAAATTTTGCCGAGGGGAAGATCTGATTCTAGAAGTAAGGAATTTGCAGCTTGATTTTTGAAATAGGCCCAAAATTGAAATCTTGTTGGAAATTTTTTATTTTTTGTAAGAGCATTTAAATATCCAAGTGTGCTTATTGGTGAATTTCAGATTTTATTTTATTATTTTATTTTTTTTTAGGATTGGGGTGAATTTTATAATTTAAATATGCTTTTATGAACATGTACAGTTTAATTGTTCTTTGTAAAATATTGAATTTGATGGTTTTATCAATTTTTATTTTCTGCTATGATGTTTTTGTGAATGGAATGTAAATAACCAACTCAGAGCATATTTTATATTAATTAAATTATGAAATTAAGTAAAAAACGCCACTATATCTTGTGGCATCATCAATTTGACATAATTATTTAAGCATATTTAATAGTATACCGGCATTTATGAAAACGTCACTATAAGTATCAGTGATGTTTATAAAACGCCTTATACCTATAGCGACGGCGTTTTGCCGTCGCAAAAAAGTAATTTTTTGTTGAAACGTAACGCCTTTAGTGACGGTTTTATTGCCGTCGCCAATAGCTCTTTAGCGACGGTTCAAGTGCTGTCTCAAATAAACCTTTAGCGACGGTATTTTTGCAGTCGCAAAAGACCTTTTTAGCGACTGCAACACAGTGTTGTCTCAAAAAAACTCAAATTTTCACGCGTTATTTGCGACAGAATTTTTTCGTCGCAAAAAAGGCACTTTACCGTCGCAAAAAAAAGGCGACGGCGTTATGCCGTCACTAAAACCCTTTTGCAACCCCCTTTGTTGCAACCCCTCTCTTGCCGTCGCAAAAAGCCATTTACCGTCGCAAAAAACCTTTTGAGACGGTACACAAAGTTGGAGAGTGATATTTTACTAATTTTTCCTTAAAAATAATAGTTAAATTAGAAGAAGAATTAGTAATACAAAATTAAAAAGTAATTCTAACTACTTAATTTTCTTTTATATTCATTTGGAAAATAAAAATATGTAAAAATAGAAATTATATTAAATTTATTAAAAAAAATTAAATATAAATATGTTGCAGTTGGATTATCATGTAATGATTTTATATTATATATATATATATATATTAAATTATGAGATTGTAAAATAAACACATTTAATTAAATTAAAATATCAACCATATAAAAGAAATTCAACAACGACTAACCAAGAAAAAAATCACATAACACCATCTAAACCCAAAAAGAAAAAATAATGAAAACATCCAAATGATAGATATATCTGAGTGTGTCAAGTGATTAATCATCTGTAATATGATATCAAAATATAAAAGAATTTACTATTCAACAATTAAAAATGTAACTCAAGCAGCAAATTCAAACTTTAGAGGTTCCTTGAGAGTATCATTGTTGTCCAAGTTTTCCTCATGTGAGTTGTGATTATATAAAATAATGTAAGAAATGAAATATAAAATTTAAACAACAAATCCATAATATAAAATAATATAGAATTGGTATAGGCATAGAATAATACACGAAAAATAAAAAGGAAAAAAAAAAGGCAATTTAATAATAATAAAAAATCCTAATACCCTTAAAAGAATTAAGAAAAAAAAATGTGAAACGCAAAATTGGTATTGAATTTGCAGATTATCTCAATTTACAATGAAAAATATATGTATAGCGATTCCGGTTTTGACCTAACTCTTGTTGCTGTCCGGACTCGGGGTTATAGATTCTGAATGTTATTCATTGTCGTTTCCCCCTTAATCCCCCCAAAATTTGGTTATTGAATTGTAGTTGTGTGTTTGGAACATGTTGGATACTTCTTTCTCCAAACCTTTGTTGTCTAGATTTTTGCTTCTCCACTTGAGCGGCCATTCTTGCGCTCGAGCGGGTTTTGCAATTTTGCTCCTCTGCTCGAGCAGCACTTTTCGCGCTTGAGCGGGCTTTGTGAACTCTCAGTACTTTGCAGGTCTGCAAAACTACTGGGAGAGTGTTTTCTACGCTCGAGTGGGTAGGCACTAAAGCAACTTTCATTGCGCTCGAGCGTTGGTCTGTTGTCTGCAAAACTACTGGATGTGTGTTTTTTACGCTCGAGTGCCACTTCTTGCGCTCGAGCGGTGAACGTCTTGTTCATTGTGTCTTGACGCTCAAGCGGCCTTTCTTGCAATTTTTTTTCTTCCAAAAACCCTAAAGTGACACGCTCTTTCTCTACATTTTCTCATAGATCCGTTGATCTCTCCGCCCTAGTGTCTTTGGAAAAAGGGTAGATCATCTTGAGAGCTCCGTTTTGATCTTATTGGAGTTGGTTTCGGGGTCGTTAAAGTTTCGTCCTTGCTCCATTGATCTTCTAAACTTGAGTTAGGGACTCTCTACACCTTAATATGAGTTTTAACTTGGTTATAGGTTGTTGTGTGAAAATAGTGAGATTTGGGGATGTTTTGAGCAAACCTAGGATTTGGGCCCAAGTTTGAAAATAGAGGTTTCTATGTGTGTGTTATAAAAATGATTATAAAAATGATTATAGGGTTTGGATGTGAAGTCATCTTGTGTTAAAATAGTTAATTTTGGCCTTTGGGTTAATATTTGGAAGATAGGGAGCTTTGCCCTAAAATGTCTTGAATAAGTATTTTGTATAAATAATGAAATTGGTATAGAAAATGTGAAATTTGGAGAATGTATACATGAATGGTGTTGTTGGATATGTTAAATCATTCACCTGTGGAAATTTGATAACTTATCTATTATAGAGATTTTATATTTGTTTAGAAATATCTGCTTTGGGCTATCGGTAGAGGATAGTTATGATTGTTGTAGACATTGCATGTGGATTAGGCGGATTGAAACTAATCCCTCAACCATTATCATTGAATATGTCACGACCCCATTCCGCCCCTAGTAGAATGGTGCCGTGATGGCCAGTAATCCGAGATTACCAAAAGCCAACTTACAAAGATTCACACACAATCAGAGTATACATATGGGGCTTACATGTGCGGAAGTAATAAATTTAAATCTAAGTAGTTCATAAGAGCTGTGCATAGATCAAATGAAATGACATACATCTTAACATGGTTTTACAACTTGGATACAAATAAAATAAAGTACATATTACATCTTGATCAAAAGGCTTCTCAAGCCGA